TGGGTAATCGAAAGAAACCTAATGACAGTGAAAATTAATGAAAATAATATCACAAAAATGGCTAGCTTTGATAAATATCTTCTTGATCTCTGCATTGACTGGGTAGCAAGAAATCTATATATCTATGCAAGCTATGAAGTCTTTGAGTACACTAACATTGTAAAGTTCGATTTAACAATATGGGAAAATGTATAATTAAATTTCATGAGATTTTTAAATCAAAAATTTATATTTCCAGTTTAAGTGTATCACCGTCTATGGTTTACTACGGTTCACCTGAAAAAATAATTTTCCATTAAAGATTTATGCATATTTGTAACTTTTCTATAATTTTATAATTATAATCATAAATAAAAAACAAAATAATAAGTTATTATATAATTATAAGAATTTCGAATTTTTACTGCATACAAGTTTCCGTTTTTGTTAAAATAATGTTTCATAATGAGTAAAATAATTATATTTTTAGAATATATAATTTTATATTTCTCATCATACAATTGGACGAATGGAAAATATAATATGATGCAATATGATCTCGATGAAAAAGATGTGCAAATTGTTCAGTTGATAAATTCATCCCTTTGCGTATATTTTTTTATGATCCTATAATTGACAACACGAATAATGAGGAGTTGTTAATTTACTGGTTTAATGATGAGCACATATTTGTGGCAGACTTTTCGATGTGTAATACGATTTTACATAAGAAAAACATAAGTGATAACATTCACTTCAAAACTATAACGATTGACAAAACAAATATTTACATTTTAGTAGATGAATGTTCGTTTAAATTTGTCTACGTTTCGAAAAAGAAATATGCAAATTTCGAGAGCGTAAATGCAGCGGAATATGTTAAAGAGATAATAAATAAAAATATGATTTATGATATATTCGCTTTTGATAAATCTTTATCATATCCTCCAATGAGATGTCTGACACCTGACGAAAAAGTTTACAATTTTAAAAATATGACTGCAACGGCAAACAGCATCATTGTAAATCTTCCGGAGCCGGTTGTAAAGAGTGGATGCAAAAATTATAATTTATCAACTACTATATATACTATTTCCGTAAGCTGTTTATACAACAATCTCAACAAGTCTGAAAAATTCAATGTACTGACGGCCGAGCGATATTACGAGATTCAGAACTTAACATCATTTGCAGAGTACAAGTTGAAGTTTACTTTAAGCAATTTTTATTTTGATCAATTATCAATAAATCCATTTGATTCGAATGTGATACCAATAAAAACTAATTCGGGTAAGCTTGATGCACCAGAGAACATAAGTGTTCTAGCTTCGACGCCTACTGTAGCAGTAATTCATTGGATGCCACTCGAGAAAGTATACTGTGCGGCCGTGATCTACGAAGTGCATTCAGTTACATTAATGAATGACAAGCAACAACAAAGCAAACAATTTATCAATGTGCCGAAACATATGACAGACGGAAGATTTTTCACAAAGATTAACTTGTTGCTAACGGTACAAGATTATTTGATATACGTGTGTGTGTATTCAATTAATTTCAACGATTTCTACAACGAGAGTTTAAGATCGTTCACATATGCTGAGAACCAAACATTACTTTGAGCGAGATCAACATAAATAGCATGAACATTTCATGGATCTCAAACATTAATCTGACGATCTTTTTTACACTAGAGTACAAAGTGTTGTGCCGAACGCGGCACGGGGTGTGGGGTAGCCGGGTATCGTAACCAAAACCTTCAGCCGTTTTAGTCTACAACGTTTTTATTGTAAAATCCTTTACATAAATAGATTATCTTTCTTGTTTTTAGTCGGTATCTTTTGAGCCCTCTCTTCGTCGTCCTTTCCTGAATCGCTTCGTTCTTAGCTTTTAGAGTGTTTAGTAACTTCGTCGTGTGATTCGTCGCACGGTATAGCGGTTAGCCCTTGGTCTCGTACTAGTTGATTGATTTATATTTAACGACTGTCCGCCGCCGATTCGCGGTGGACGGCTTTTATTCCTTCGATTTGGGGTGTTTTTTGGGAGGGGATCGCCTAGCGACATGACCATGTATGGTCATGGAGGTTTTTCGTGGCGTCCAAAGTCTAAGTGCAAGCGAAGAAGGTTCAAAGACGAATCCCTTCGTTAGCGTTTTCGCGTTTCCGGCGAACGTTCTTACGCGTGGTTCGCTGAGGTAGCGGTTTTGCGCGGTTCGCGAATATTCTATCCCTAAAAAATTACCCTTTTAAAAAAAAGGTAAAAAAAGGTGCTAAGTCCGCGTAAAAAACAGTATATGTATTTGCAAAATAGTGTATTATTAACTGTAAAAAACTACTGTATTGTATATCCTACAAAAATAATGATATCAAAAAAGTTGCGCTAAGTGAAAATAAAAGCTTATAAAAATACTTTAACCAAAAAAAGTTATACAAAATAGCTGATTTAATTTTCTACATTATATCTTAGAAAAATAATAATATCCAAAAATTACGCTAATTGAAAATAAAAACTTAAAATAATTTAACTAAAAAAAATTGTACAAAATAATTGTTTTAATTTCATACAAATAATATTAAAGAGTTGCGCCAACTGAATAAAAATTTTTACTATAAAATAGACATATTTCTTTTTTATTTTCAATATTAAAAGAAAAATGATATTAAATGAATTGTAATATATCTATTATAAAAAATCGAATTGAAAATATTAACAATCATATACATTGCAATAATCATATGCATATATCCTGAAAAGTTTAATTAAAAAAAAAGAAGAAAATGATAATACAAAATACAAAATTAAAAATTATTAAAAAAATTAAAAATTAGAAATTAATAAATAAAAAATAAAAATTTATATAAAAATTAAAAATTAATACATATAAAAAAATTTTAGTTAAAAAACTTAGCGCTGCTAATTTCATTAGCACATTGTTCAGCGTAGCAGCGCTAAGTTTTTTACCTAAAATTTTTTTATATGTATTAATTTTTAATTTTTATATAAATTTTTATTTTTTATTTATTAATTTCTAATTTTTAATTTTTTTAATAATTTTTAATTTTGTATTTTGTATTATCATTTTCTTCTTTTTTTTTAATTAAACTTTTCAGGATATATGTATATAATTATTGCAATGTATATGATTGTTCATATTTTCAATTCGATTTTTTATAATAGATATATTACAATTCATTTAATATCATTTTTCTTTTAATATTGAAAATAAAAAAGAAATATGTCTATTTTATAGTAAAAATTTTTATTCAGTTGGCGCAACTCTTTAATATTATTTGTATGAAATTAAAACAATTATTTTGTACAATTTTTTTTAGTTAAATTATTTTAAGTTTTTATTTTCAATTAGCGTAATTTTTGGATATTATTATTTTTCTAGGATATAATGTAGAAAATTAAATCAGCTATTTTGTATAACTTTTTTTGGTTAAAGTATTTTTATAAGCTTTTATTTTCACTTAGCGCAACTTTTTTGATATCATTATTTTTGTAGAATATACAATACAGTAGTTTTTTACAGTTAATAATACACTATTTTGCAAATACATATACTGTTTTTTACGCGGACTTAGCACCTTTTTTTACCTTTTTTTTAAAAGGGTAATTTTTTAGGGATATCACTCTTTTTTGTACTATATGTTAAACATCTCTAAATAAATGAGCAAAGAACCCGCCATCATCCCCGTCATATTTCATTAAAATTAGACGGTCCTCTTTCCTTACTATATAGATATTCAGATCCTTCAAACTTCTGTGCTACTCTTATTGTGTTCGCGAATGAGTTATTCGAAACGAGAGGCGCGACAGAAAAGGTCTTGAACTCGGACACTGCACAATTGAGAAAAAAACAAGCCACGACACGTATGATTTTTTTTGTACTTTTGATAATTTTATTTTTAACACCACACGATGAATAAAGTTTTACACAAAATATATGTATTTTTCAGAACTCGAAAAATATTGCCGGAATTGGTTCAAGTCCGTAATCTAGAGGAAAGTCCGAGTGAAGAAAGCGGTCGAGTAATACTGCGGTTTGCGAAGCGATTTACAATAAGTGCGGTTTAGCGAAAAGTGCGGTTTAGCGAAAAGTGCGAGACTTCCCTTGTCCACGCGTGGGGCCCGCTATATACCGGGCAAATCCCTTGGCCCGTGTCGACGTGGCCCAATTAACTTTGCATTTTGGCGATGACCTCAGGGCGCTGCGCGTCACCGGCCGCCGATGAGGTCCACCGCTGACAATGAGGCAACTGTCATGCGCGCGATCCCCCCAGATCAGCTGATTGGTGATCAGCTGATCGTGACGCATGGGCGCGCATGCCCGTGAACCACACAGGCCTCGGCGACCATTGACACTGCTATTGTCAACGGCAGAGACAAACGGCCCCCGCGGCGGCAACAAAATAGAGACAATTCGAACGATCGGTTCCCCTTTATAAATAGAAGCGTCGAGAAGACTCTCGACGTCCGCTAATCTGAAAAACCTCGACCCTCAGCAATGACGAGCTGAGATGATATGCATGCGAAATATGAACTTCAAACATCCCGCCCGCCTCGTCAGTACATGACGAAATGAATGAGTGCGTGCAAGTACTGACAGATGTCATGAGCAGTTCGATTTGTGAATTGTGAATCGCGCGTGATGAATGGAATGTGGTGATGATGCAACGTAACAACACGTGTGATTCAGTCTATTGAAATTTTCGCTTGAGTGAGTGTTGCGTTTTGGTGAAATATTGTGACGGTGAATAATGAGAAACATACTCGTGATGTTGTGTACAATATGTAAAAGTATTGGCGGTTGATTTCCAAAACGTGCGGTGATGAGTGATCGTGAAATTGCGACGTAAAAAAAAAAGAAAACGCGAGAAGACAATTAATAACGCGATCCGCCGATCGTACGTGGGATTATAAGTGACGCGAATGAAGTGCGATGCGGTGAAACGAATTAGTGAGAAACCGCAGCAAAAAAAAGGAGAAACGAAATAAGAACGTGTGATTGTGCGGGCTCACGAATCCGGTTGTGATGAGTCTGCCCTGGCGTTGTCTCCTGGCAGGACGATGATCTTCGCGAGTGGTCGAGTGAACTCTGAAGATGCGGTGCGGACGGTGATGACGCGTATGATTCCGTCGTGCAGTGCCGTGATGCGGGCGAGCGGCCATCTCGTCGGAGGCGTGATCTCCGATCGCAGCAGGCACAGATCGCCGATGCTAGGGCCGGCTTCGTCCTTGGTCCACTTTGGTCGTGACGCCAAAGTGCTGAGGTACTCGCGCGTCCACCGTTCCCAAAAGTGGTCGCGCATTTTTTGAAGAAGCCGCCACCGCGATAGAGCGTTGTCCTTCTCGGACGTGAGTGACGGCTCAGGAACGGCCACGAGGGGGGCGCCGATGATGAAGTGCCCTGGGGTTAGCGCCGCCAGATCGTCGGGATCGTCCGTCAGCGGCTGCAACGGACGCGAATTTAGGCACGCCTCCACCTGAGTGACGAGGATCGCCATTTCCTCGTAAGTGAGGGTGGCTTCGCCGATGACCCTTCGGAGGTGGTGTTTGGTGGATTTGACGGCGGCCTCCCACAGTCCGCCGAAGTGCTGCGGGGGGGGTTGAACCTCCATCTCACGCCGTCGGAAGCTGTTGCGTGAATTATCCGACGGCCGTCGGAAGAGAAAGCGGAACAGCTCCCGCAGCTCACGGTCAGCTCCGACGAAGTTCGTGCCGCAGTCGGAGAAGACGTCGCTGCAGAGGCCTCGCCGGGAAACGAAGCGGCGGAAGGCAGCTAGGAACGCCTCGGCCGTGTAGTCCGTGACTGCCTTCAGATGGACCGCCTTGATGCTGAGGCAGACGAAAACTGCGATGAAGCCCTTGAATGCCTTGTGGCCTCGTCCCTTGCTAGCCCGAATGAGGATAGGGCCGGCGTAGTCGACCCCGGTGCGCAGGAACGGGCGTGCAGGAGTCACTCGTTCCCGTGGTAGATTGCCCATGAGTGGTTGCGGTGCGGCGGCTCTCCACCGCGTGCAGGTGACGCATCGGTGGATCGCCCGCTTGACGACTGCTCGACCACGTGGGATCCAAACTCGTTGACGAAGCAACCCGAGGGTGAGCTGCACTCCTCCGTGCAGGGTCCGCCGGTGGCAGGAGTCCACCATCAAGTGAGTCAACCTTGACTCCGGTGGGATGATGATGAGATGCCGCTCGTCGTGAGACAGGATGGCGTTCTTCAGTCGTCCTCCGACTCGCATTACACCGCTGTCGTCGAGGAACGGACTCAGCTTGGTGAGAGGACTTCTGGGTGGCAAGGCGCGTCCTTTGCTGAGTGCTGTGATCTCGCCGAGGAAGTGCAGAGTCTGTGTGGTGCGAATCCAGTGAAGGAGTGCGTCTTCGATCTCGCAAGACACGAGTGAGAGTGCGGCGTCAGCGGTGGTGCGAGATCTCCGGGTGCCGGTCCGTCGCCATCGAAGACACCAGGCTGTCACTCTGAGCAGTCGGTGCAATGACGAGAAACGGAGCAGAAAGGCCGACTCGGAGACGTCCTTGACAGCCGCTGAGAGTAACGGCTCTTTGCTCCGGCACAGCAGCGTTCAGCAGGGCGCCGTCGTTGTTCGGCCACCTTGCTTGGTCCTCTAAAAGCCAGGATGGTCCCGTCCACCACAGAGGATGACCGACCAGGTCGCTAGGCAGAACTCCTCGGGAGGCGCAGTCAGCTGGGTTGTCCTTGCCCGGCACATGTCGCCATCGCGCCTCGGGTAACCGCTCCTGGATCAGCGACACTCTGTTGACCACGTAGGTCTTCCAGCGGGAGGCGTGTCCGTGGATCCAGTGAAGAGTGACCCTGGAGTCCGACCAAAGGAAGACTGGAGCTGAGGACAAACTTAGCAGAGTGCGCGTGTGGACGACGAGGTTCGTCAAGAGGGCGGCCGCGCATAGCTCGAGTCTCGGCAAGGACATGGGCTTCACGGGCGCGACCTTGCCCTTAGCGGTCAGCAGGTGGAGTGTGGCGCCCCTTCCAGTGGAGGAGCGGAGGTACACCACGGCGGCGTACCCTCGCTCCGATGCGTCGGCGAATCCGTGTAGTTCGACGTGTGAGTGCGGACCGTCGCTGCCGAGCCAACGAGATACCTTTATCTCGTTGAGACGCGGAAGTTGCGAGAGCAGGTTCCTCCAAGCGAGCGTGTCCGATGATGGAAGTGGAGTGTCCCAGTCGATCTTCTGGAGTCAGGCGGACTGGATTAGGATCTTGGCCCGCATTGTGACCGGGGTGATCCAGCCGAGAGGATCGAACATTCGTGCGGTTTCCGACAGGACACGCCGTTTTGTTAGTTCGTCGAAGTGACGTGTTGGTTGGGAAAATGTGAAGTGATCACTGGCCGGGTGCCAGTGAAGACCCAGTGTTGTGTGACTCTCGTGTGACCACGAGTGAGATGAGTGGGTCAGCCGGTGCTCGTGCGGAACGCCGTCCAGGATGCTGAGGTGGTTGGCCGCCCATTTCCGAAGAGGAAACCCGCCCGCCATGCAGAGGCTGCGGAGCTTCCGTTGCGCTGCGGTGGCCTCCGAGAGGGTGCTCGTGCCGGTCACGACGTCGTCCACGTAAGTATCGCGGCGCAGCGCGACAGCTCCTTGCGGAAATCGGTGACCTTCGTCGGCGAGCTGGTGCAAGGTCCGTATGACAAGGAATGGCGCGCACGCCAAGCCATACGTGACCGTTCGCAAGCGGTATTCGCGGATGTCGTCAACGGCACGGTGCCGCCAAAGTATCCGCTGATAATCGCGGTCGTCTGGATGAACAAGAATTTGGCGGTACATTTTCTCAATGTCCGCCAAGAAGACGTAACGGTGCCAGCGCCAGCGCAGGAGTACGTCAGCGAGAACTGGCAAGAGGTTGGCACCAGTCAGCAGACTGGTGTTGAGTGAGGTGCCCGAGGTCGTGAGCTGTGAGCCGTTGAACACGACCCTGAGCTTAGTGGTGGTGCTCGTTTCTCGCAACACTCCGTGATGCGGTAAGTAGCACCTTGCAGTATCTTCTTGTTGTGATGATGTGGTTACAGCTTCCATGTGTTGCAGGTCTTCGTAGTCCTTCATGAAGCTGCGGTAGAGGTTGCCGAATCGAGCGTCCTTGTCGCAGCGGCGCTCCATGGCATGGAGCAAACGCTCGGCCGGCCGACGGGTTCCTGACAGAGAGGGTGGAGCTCCGGAGAAGGGAAGCCTCACAATGTAACGTCCGGCGTTGGTGCGTGAGTGCTCGCGGACGAAGATGTCCTCGCATCTTCTCTCCTCCGGGGTAAGAGCGACGGGAGCGGTATGCTCCTTCTCCTGCTCCCAGAAGAGCTGCACCAAGTCGGTCAGCTGGCGGTCTATAGTGCATTGGTGAGCGCATGGCTACCCTGGGTCGTGCTCGGTGTTCCCGACAGGATCCACCCGAGGGAGGTCTTCTGCGCGATGGGCTCGTCTTTGCATCTCTTGCGGAGTCCATCTTGAAGGATGGCGGAATAGACATCCGCACCGAGCAGTATCTCGATTGAATCTCGGTCTAAATACTGCGGATCGGCCAGAGAGAGACCGCGTATGTGGGGCCAGGTGACGCTGGCTCGCACGATGGGCCCCTGGTACGCGGAGAGATGCGGCAGGACGTACGCCTGGACGGGGAGTGTTGCTCCAGTTATTGCCGAGGAGAGCGCCAAAGACAGCCATCCGCGGGTTGCTCCAGAGGCTCCTCCGATCCCGGCTATCGTCATCGAGGAGCGGATCCGCGGCAGGCGCAATCGTTGTGCCAGGGCCTCTGAGACTAGAGAGACCTCTGATCCTTGGTCGATCAGTGCTCGGATGTGCGGTCTTCCCACGTGGTCCTTGATAGTAACCCGTGCGGTGGCAAGAAGAATTGCCTTGCGGTCTGATGCGAAGCGTGTGGTGGACAAGGAAATCGCACCATCAGATTGCGAGCATGCGTCGTGCAGAAGCGTGTGGTGGCGTGCTTTGCAAGTGAAGCACGTTTTCGACGACTGACATTTTGCCAGGTAATGGTTACCGAGGCAGTTGAAGCACAATCTGTTTGCTTCTACTAGGCCTTTTCGCTCGGCAGCGGTCTTGGCCTTGAACGTCGAGCATTGCATAATCGAATGCTTTTCTTTACAGGCGGCGCACGTTGACGAACCGGATGCGCGTTTTACAAAGTGCGACTTTGCGGACCGAGAAGTGTCTCCGGATTTCGCGGCAGTGGTTGGCTGCACGGCGTTCAGCGTGAGGATCTGCTTCGCTATGAAGTCCATAAGGACGTCGTTGCTTGGCGGGTCGACGGAATCGCGGATTGAGGACTCCCACTGCATTCGAGTCTGTGGGTCAAAGCGCTCGACGAGCAGGTAATTGAAGAGGTCCATACCGTGCGTGCCGATGGGCCTTTCGATGCTCTCCTGAGCATTGATGGCAGTCGTGGTGGCTTTATAAATTCGGTTCAACTCGTCAGCGGTCGCGTTCTTCATTTTAAGCACGGCGGTGTAGGCAGCGAAGTTGGCGCGAATGAGCTCTCGCTTGTTCTCGTAGTGAGAACTTAAAATTGACCACGTCCTGTCATAATTGCCCCCGACAATCGGCAATGATCTAATTAGTTTTTCCGCAGGGCCCTGTAAGCTCGTACGGAGATAGTGGAGCTTTTCCACGTCGGAAATGGAAGTATTGCTCTCGATGATGGATAAGATGTCGCGAAACGCGGGCCAATCACTGTATGCACCGGAGAACGACTGGAGCTTAATTCGCGGCAGCGAGGTCTTGAGCGTCTGCTCTTGGTGAGCCTCGACTTGGGCGTAGTGGACGACTCGCCCTTGAGTTTGTTCGCGTATTCGACCAGCATGCTCCTTTGTGTCACGTAGGTAGTTTCCGCGATATCGATAAAGTCATTCTTTGCGTACTCACTCTTAAGATATTTGTCTTTCAGTGCCGTTACAATGAGGTCATGATGGGCCTCGAATCTGGTCCACAGCGTGTCGAGAATGCGGAGGCGAGCCTGAATCGCTTCGTCGGTAATGCTCGAGACGCCCATCTTGCGCAGATTGTCCACGGAGCGAGACATTCGTCCGTGGATGTCGTTCTGCGCCTCCAACAGTGCCTTTAGATCTGCACTCATGATCACTTTTCAGTTTCAGATTCACGCACTATGTCACAAGGTTCACCCACGAACTGCGGATGCGGATAAAAAATCCGGCTCGAAGGACCAGAAAATGTTCGCGAATGAGTTATTCGAAACGAGAGGCGCGACAGAAAAGGTCTTGAACTCGGACACTGCACAATTGAGAAAAAAACAAGCCACGACACATATGATTTTTTTTGTACTTTTGATAGTTTTATTTTTAACACCACACGATGAATAAAGTTTTACACAAAATATATGTATTTTTCAGAACTCGAAAAATATTGCCGGAATTGGTTCAAGTCCGTAATCTAGAGGAAAGTCCGAGTGAAGAAAGCGGTCGAGTAATACTGCGGTTTGCGAAGCGATTTACAATAAGTGCGGTTTAGCGAAAAGTGCGGTTTAGCGAAAAATGCGAGACTTCCCTTGTCCACGCGTGGGGCCCGCTATATACCGGGCAGATCCCTCGGCCCGTGTCGACGTGACCCAATTAACTTTGCATTTTGGCGGTGACCTCAGGGCGCCGCGCGTCACCGGCCGTCGATGAGGTCCACCGCTGACAATGAGGCAACCGTCATGCGCGCGATCCCCCCAGAGCTGATTGGTGATCAGCTGATCGTGACGCATGGGCGCGCATGCCCGTGAACCACACAGGCCTTGGCGACCGTTGACACTGCTATTGTCAACGGCAGAGACAAACGGCCCCCGCGGCGGCAACAAAATAGAGACTCGAACGATCGGTTCCCCTTTATAAATAGAAGCGTCGAGAAGACTCTCGACGTCCGTTAATCTGAAAAACCTCGACCCTCAGCAATGACGAGCTGAGATGATATGCATGCGAAATATGAACTTCAAACATATTGCAAAAATAACGGATAACTACAAATCAATATGTCATTAGAAACCGTACACCTTTTTTCATTCAAAAACTAAGCATTTTAGAGAAAAACGTTTTTGACAAAAATTGTATGATTTTGAGAGGAACATAAGATGGTGTCATTGGTTTGACCTCGGATGGCATCGTTAAGGTCAGTTCAAGGACATCTTTAATTTCTTAAATGGAATCACCTATTTTTTATTGCATATTCTTATAGCTTATGTCGAGAGCTTTCCAAAACACTATAATAAAGTATTTTTTCATTAAGTACTTATCGATTTATAAAACTTAAAATAAAATCTTAGTTTTACATAAACTATAAAATATCTAGTAAAATATTTATTTCTCGATTATCTTACCTTAATACTTTTATGTACAAAATAATGAGAGGAATCAATTAATGTAAAAAAACACACAGTTGTTTTTAAGAAAAAATATGTAATTGTTAATTGCAAATTATATATTTTTTCTTCGGAACAATTATGTGTTTTTTTTTAGACCAATTGATTCCTCTCATTATTTTGTACATAAAAGTATTAAGGTAAGATAATCGAGAAATAAATATTTTACTAGATATTTTATAGTTTATGTAAAATTAAGATATTATTTTAAACCTTATAAATCGAAAAGTATTCAATGAAAAAATACTTTATTATAGTGTTTTGGAAAGCTCTCGACATAAGCTATAAGAATGCAATAAAATATAGGTATATGCAATAAAAAATAGGTGATTCCATTTAAGAAATTAAAGGTGTCCTTGACCTGACCTTAACGATGCCATCCAAGGTCAAACCAATGACACCATCTTATGTTCCCCTCAAAACCATACAATTTTTGTCTAAAACGTTTTTCTCTAAAATGCTTAGTTTTTGAAAGAAAAGGGGTGTACGGGTGGTCTAGGACACCCTGTATACAAGGTGTCCCATTTTAATCAATGGATCCAAATTTCTCCTAAACTACGCCAGCTACAAAAAAATGTTTCAGACAAAAGTTGTATGGCTTGAAGGGGGACATAAGGTGGTGTCATTGGTTTGACATTGAAGAGTCACCTAAAGGTTACGTGAAGATCACGTCCAATTTTTTATAATATGGCACCCTATATGCTTTTACATATTCTTATAGTTCATCTCGAGAGCTTTCCAAAACATTTTTTATAATATGGCACCCTATATGCTTTTACATATTCTTATAGTTCATCTCGAGAGCTTTCCAAAACACTATAATTAAGTTAGTTTTCATTAAGTAGTTTTCGAGTTATGAGGCTTGAAATCATTTCTTAATTTTACATAAATCGTAAAATATCTAGTAAAATATTCATTTTTTGTTTAACTTATCTTAATACTTTTGTGTACAAAATAATAAGAGGAATCAATTGGAGTGTAAAAAAAACATATAACTGTTCCGAGGAAAAAAATATGTAATTTGCAATTAACAATTCCATATTTTTTCTTAAACAACTGTATGTTTTCTTTACACCATTTGATTCTGCTTCATATTTTGTACGTAAAAGTATTAAGATAAGATAATCGAAAAATGAATATTTTACTAGATATTTTACGACTTATGTAAAATTAAGAAATGATTTCAAGTCTTATAACTTGAAAACTACTTAATGAAAATTAACTTAATTATAGTATTTCGGAAAGCTCTCGAGATGAACTAAAAAAATATGCAAAAGCATATAGGAAGTCCCATTTAAAAAGTTGGATGTGATCTTCACGTAACCTTCAGGTGACTTTTCAATGCCAAACCAATGACACCACCTTATGTTCCCCTTCAAGCCATACAACTTTCGTCTGTGAAACATTTTTTTGTAGCTGATGTAGTTTAGGAGAAATTTGGATCCATCGATTAAAATGAGACACCCTGTATATAATAATCTTAACATCACGGAGCGCCGCTAGTGCAATCTTACGTCGAATGCGGCAAACGTACAACTTTTTACGCTTGCGCATTGGGGACTTGGGCGACGATGACCAAGGAGACGTTGCTTAATGAAAATTTTTCATATTTCGACTTTGGATCATAATATTGCTGTTCACGATGCACGTAGAGCAAAAATAAAGACACTTTTCTTATATAAATCAACCTCAAGCTATCCATTAAGCCTAATAAGAACTCGATCCGTTTAGCGATTATTTCAATATGATAATCTCGAACATCTCCAACTATCCGACTCGCGTAATGATACACGGCGCGTCTTGTTGCTTACGCGGGACTTAGCACAAGACACTACCGTGTCTCTTGATTAATATTATCAAAAGAATAAGTTATAGTCTTTCGGACTATAACATCCCTCCCCCGTTGGAAAAGAAAAACGGAGGTTGCAAACGAAGTTTTCCTATCTTCCAAATGTGTATATACCTATCCTTATTTTAAATACAATATATTTCCCGTGTACAATATTCATTATAATCGTTTCTTATTTCTAGATTAAAATTTATTTATCCTAAAATCGTGTGCTCTTAGTCCTTTTTAATATTGGTTTAGGCATTCCATACGATTTGTCAATTTCATCTACTAATGTAACAACAGCTGGTCGTTTAGCTTTTCTTTTTCTATATTGGATTATTATCCAGGCTATTAATGCTATAATGATTAAAATAGTTATTCCGCTAGAAGTTGTTGTATAAATGACTTGCTTTTGTTTAAAAAAGTTATTGTTATTATTGTTCAAGTTATTATTAATTTCTTCTAATTTATTACTTAATCCTTTTAATTCTAGTGGATTATTTTTATTATTTCTTTAAATTCGTATACGTGATTTTGTTTGTCATTAATTTCTGTAATTGTTATATTGAACTCTGGTAGAAATGTTTCTATGCTCGTATTATATGTAATTATTTCTATCTGTATCGTCATGTCTGTAGTTATTAGTTTACAGTTATCGTGTAACGTAATCCGACCTGTGTTTTTGATTATCTTTTTATACTCAGGATGATCATTACATTTTATCGTGATCTGTTGCTCAAATGATGTCGAATATAATCAAGAGTGCAGCTGTTGTAATATGATCCACATTGCGCGGGTCGCTTTTTTATGGCCTATATTACATTGGTTGCGATAGTTTTGTTCTTGTACATAAATTTTCGCTTCGCACGTATTTTCGTTAACATGATAAATTGGTTGATTTTTTCCGCATAAGTATAAATTATTATTATTCGTACATTCGTCTAATTCTTGTTTTCTTAGAATTAAATAGGTACGTGTTTCTTTATTTACAGCAATCAACTTATTAGCTACTCCTGTGTATATAAAACTATTTTCGTAGTTAGGTGTCGGCAACGGGATTACATTTAAGACGTCAAACATTGGTTGTGTAATTAGTGGAAATTTTAATATCGTATATATATTCGTTTTGTCGCAATACGCATTTACTTCCACATAATTTTCTATAGTTAGCCATTCGTCGTATTTTATGTCGAATGGGAAATACGAACCTCGCAGTAACTGTAAGGCTGCTTCCTTTAAATTATCAA